GGAAGATTGCAGCGCCTATTGCTTTTGTACTTGTGGTTATAGGATTTTGTGCTTTGAAAGCAAAGAGACGAGGTGGGCAGTCGTCTCCGCAGCCTGTACGGATCAATCTTAGAAGGCGAGCGCGGCAAAATGGGTAGAAGCTTGACGCTAGGGTAAGAACGGGTAAGAGGCGCACTTATTTGAAGGTTAGTTCGATATATCTACTGGAAAAGAAGCCATGTACAAGCACTCGGTCCGAGAAGACAGAGGTAGGAGCCTAAGCTTCAGAAGCAAGAGAAGGAGAGCCTTGGCTTTTGAGCAGCGCTTTTAATCTCCCAGCCTTGCTTGGAGTTTCTCAGCCCCACTTTCTTTGAGCAAGAGCAGTCGTTGGCAAATCCTCAGAGACTTTGCTGCATGTAGTAATTCAGCCCAGCCTAGCCTTCCATATTGTCCAGCCAAGGCTGGGGGATTGAAATCGCTACCCCTTGAACCTGCCGACCTCAAAGTGCCGGACCCAGAGGGCGTTGCCAGACGGAGAAGATGACAAGCATGCTTTAAACTGGGATCATAAAGTCATAACCATCAAATCTATAGAAATGCGCTTAACTCTAGGCCTCCATGACCGCCAGCTTTTCCTTAATGTCCAAAAGTGGCATGTGACGAGAGCTACAATTCGGTGCCCGAACTTCTGTCTAACATTCTAGATAAAAGTAAATTGACCTACGTCAGCTGGGACATCAGACGAAAGCTATGAATGCTGAAGGAACGCGATGTCCAATTCACCTTGTGGTCGCGAAAGATTCCAAATCCTCAGGAAATTCCAGATTTTGAACCAAACAGCGCGCAAGAAAACGTTAATAGCTTAGGTAGCCGAGAGCCCGACTTCAGATTCTTCGCAAATTCATCAAGATGGGGGCGCAACTCCTTGTGGGTTTCTTGGCAATGGCTACGATATTATTGAAGGCTGGGATGGCATTCGCAAAGATCTTCTCCGACACTGATTGGCTCCTCGCTAGCGCTCCCCGCAAAAAAGTTCCCAGCCTCGCGCCGCCAAATTCCAACCCGCAGAGAATATTTCTCGAAGCTCCTCGACCTTGCGCAACTCCCACACAACAAAGACCAATTCCCATATCTACATCTTCATACTACTCCGCCAACATGGGGAAAGGCAAAGGAAAGAAGTCTCGTGTAGACAACCCGAAGAAAAAGAAGGAGCCAAAGATCAAAGGCCTCCCGAACACCAAGCCACCGAATCCAACCAAAGTCGCAAACAAGCTCGCACACAAGAAGAAGAAAGCCGCACGACTCGAAGAGCTCAAGGAAGCGATACGAAAAGATCCCAGTCTCATCAAACCTTTTGCGACGCCTATGCAGAGGACTGCGCCGTTCATGAAGAATCCCAATGCTGCGAAATGGCCGGCGCTGTTCAAGAGACAGTTGGGATTGATTGAGATGCATATCGATAGTTTGACGCGCATTATGAATGCGATGAGGAATGATGGTGATTCTATGAGCGCGGAGGATAAATTAGACTGGGAGCTTGGGGAGAGGGGAAATTGGAGGGCGATTTGCGGGATGATGGATAGGGCGAGACTGGTGCTGTCGCAGACCAAGGAGGCTGCGCAGGGTGTTGTAAGTTTTGCATTCCTATAGTAGAGGTCGATTTGAGGCTAATTGTCTATGTGCAGCTCCCCGAAGACAGATTGCGCGACAAGAAGAAGCTTGGAGTTGTGGGCACTGAATTCGAACCTCTTGTACCAAAACTTGACGAGAAAGCTAGAGCGATGGGATACGATCCGAAAGGGAAAGGAGCTCTTGGAAGAAGCATGGATTACTTGGATCAAGAAGGCAAATCCCTAGACCAAGACGGCGACACCGACATGTCAGATGCGTCCGAATCCTCCTCAGATGAGTCGGACTCTGATGATGATGTTGCTACGGGAGCGGATTACATTGGGCTGGACATTGGCAGCAGGAAGAAGCAGAAGAAGGATCATACCATTGAAACAACGAACGGGGCCGCCCCAAATCCATTCTTCGTCGTCGACACAGAACCCACACCCGTCAACCTGAACACCGCCCCCAATGCAGCCGAACAAGCCAGCGAACGCCTCTCAAACAGAAAGCGAAAGCAAATGGAGAAGGACGAGGCAGCCGCAGCCCGGCTAGCAAAGAGAATGGCCAAGAAAGCTGCGTATGAAGCTGAAAAAGCCGCCGCTGCACAAGCTACTGAAGAATCTGCGAAAGAGCCTTCGAGTCCAGGAGTTGATTTCAGAGAACTTGAGGCGAAGCTACAAGCTGAGATTGATGATGGTACGAGGGCACAACAAGAGGCAGAGGCTCAAGAAGCAGAGGCTGCAGCAAAGACAGCGAAGAAGAAGCGGAGACGGAGTAGTGAGGGAGGGGAGGAGGTTGTGAAGAAGGTGAAGAAGGAGAAGAAGGAGAAGAAAAAGCGGAAAGCTGATGATGATGTGGAGGAGGAGGAAGATAGTGGGAAGAAGAAGAAGAGGAAGCATAGAGATTCGGATTCTGATTGAGGTCTGGGTGAGACTGGGATGGCAGACATATCTGGACTGCATTACTTTGCTGGAGTTGATGATACCACAGAATTTCATTTGTTTGGGATGGAGTAGGAGGCTGAGATGGATAGCATAGCATTGTTGGAGTACAAAATACATCCAGACACAACTCTTCTTGGTCAAAGAAAGCCGACAGCAGGAGAGCCAAAAGAGATTGGCAGGTCGGGCATCCCCCCTAACCGATCCAAAAAAAAAAGTTAGGCCTCACTAGGAATCGAACCAAGATCTCCGGAACTATGATTCTTGCGAAAATCAGAATCCGACGTGCTGAACCATTACACCATGTAGCCGTTTGTATGATTGCTTGTGAAAGGGTTCTTATTTAAATCTATAAGGGTCTCTATGCTCGTCTAAGCGAAAGGATGGTCCACCCAGCTCCCCGTGTGAGTCACTGAAATTGGTGTCAGTAAGTCTTGCAAATGTCGGTACACTTGACTTCAGTATGGAGATTTCATTTATTCTTTTGCCGGAACTGCCCTGCTGCATCTGATGCGCCTCCCTGGTATCTTACAGTATTTATGTACAGTTCTCGTATTGACTTCTAGATGTACAGCCCATTGTCATGCCCCAAATCACAACCTCTCGCACCATACAAATGTTCAGACAGCTACATCCTTCTCCGCATCGAATACCTTCGAGTCTGTCAACAATAGGCGAGAGTAGATTCCGGAGGTGTTCTCCCAGTCGACCAGTCCAGCCTACCGCTTCTTCTCCTCGGTCTTCTTTTCTGCCACAACCTTCTCATCAATCTCCTTAACCTCCTCATTCTTATCTTTCCCCCAATTCCACACCTCCCAGATCTGATCCATAATCAACCCACCATATCCCCTCCCCTCATCCAACGCCTCCTTCTCCCTCTGATCCCTTTTAACCTTCCAATCCTCACCCTCCTCTCCCATCCAAAGCTTCTCTAGTAAACCCCTCTCCACCCTCTCCTTCTCTTCCTGTTCCCTCTTCCTCTCAACCTCCGCCAATACACCTCCCGGCTCTCCACTCTTCACCTCTTCCCTCCCTAAACTCCTCCCAAAACCCCCCTTCATCTGCTGATCCCTCCACTCCTTCTCCTCCTTCAACCTCTTCTGCATCTCCAGCGCCTTAGGCGGTAATCCACTATCTGCGAACGTATTCGCGCGATTTTGTATCCGTTGTAACATCGATATGCCGGTTAATTCCCTGCTAACTTGGTTTCCGCCGTAGAATGTGCCGCCGAGGAGAGCGAGGGTGTAGATGTCTAGTTTTCGGGGCGGGATGAGGATTATGATGGGACAAACGAAGAGAGCGCCATAGGAGACCCAGCGGAGGATGTCGTCGCGGGAGGGGGCGGGATTGCTGGTTGAAGGTGGTTTTTGGGGCGTTGTTGTCGCCATTGTGAGATGTGTGCAGCTGGGGAGGCGAGGACTAATTTGATGAAGGGGGGGTGTTCAAATCGCATGCAGTAATCGCGATGCTCGAAATTCCTTGTCTGCACTATCGTCGTGAATTAAACGCTGTTATGATTGCAGCTGAAAGGCTTGTTCTCAAGCTTGAAGACATCACCAAAAAGTTTACGGTGGATCCCTGCGCGGGCCGACGTTTCCCCAATTATCCTAGCCCGATTCCTTGGGGGGCTGGAATGGGTCGCTTGTGCTGCTAGCCGTATAGATATAAATAAGAAATTTCTTAGTCATATGTCGAGTTGCCAGAGTGGTTAATGGGTATGACTCGAACGTCCTCGGACAAATAGATATCATATGGTTTCGGCCGCGTAGGTTCAAATCCTGCACTCGACGTCTCTTTTGCATCTCTAGACAAAGGGGATGCTGTTCTTATGGTCCGGGATATCGTGGTTGTGGTGGAGTAGGGGTGTTTTTTTTTTTGGGAGTGTTGTGGCTGATATGTGGCTAGGCGTTGAAATGAAGCTAAGCGAAAAAGCTTAAAGTTGAACTTCGACCTCATCGCAACTTCCTCTTCCTTCGTGCATGATATATAAAATTGTTTCGGCAAGAGCGTTCATTTCTTTTTTGTCAGTAGCTACTTCCTCCCCCCTCTACCGAGGCTCGCGGCCACAATGCAGACAAAGCGATTCTTTCAACAAAGGTACCTCTGTGCCCTCAATGTGGTCAAGTACCCAACCCAATATGCCTCCGCAGAGAAAGCAAAACAGCGGATGGGAATGAATCGTTGCCTTCTGCTACCCCCTTTCCAGGTGAGCCTTTGTACCTGTACTTGACGATGTTTGGTGTCCTCTTTGCCCATGGTCTCGAGAGGCTGCAACAACTTGCCATTTTCAAACTTCTTTCGGCAATTCAATTCTCAAGAAGGCTGATTGGCTCAGCAGCTTCAAATCTGGAGAGTCAAGAGCTTCATTAGATGGCCACGGCATGAAGCTTGTAACACGATCCGTCCCAGAGAGGCAAATTTCCCCTTGTGCTTCATCACGTGCCTCAATCCGAGGAATCCTTATCCGGCGGCCGCTCCCGTCTCTTCCCCTCTCTGCCCCTCCATTTCTGTTACGAAATACCTCTCTCTTATTTCACCTTATAATTCTCCGGAACTCAAAACTAACATTTTCAAACTGCTCTGCTCTGCTCTGCTACATAATTTCTTCCAATTTTTCCACCCCAAGTTCCTCACCTGGCACAGTAACTCAAGATGGGTCTCATTACCGGTATCGCTCACGTGAACGTAACAGTCCCACCTGGAACTCTAGAACAAGCAGCAAAGTTCTACGGGGAAACGCTAGGTCTGACACGAGCCCCAGTTCCAGCCCTTCAAAAAGAAACTCTCGCATGGTATATCCTCTTTTCCATCCCACTCTTGACCTTTACACAACAAAATTTGCAGTCACACAAGCTGACTCATCCCAGGTTCGACATCACACCAGGAGGACAACAAATCCACGTCTCATCCCACTCTACAGAAGGAACCACAACGAATGACTTCAAAGCGAGCAGACATCCTTGTTTTAAGCTGGGTTCGAGGGAGGAGTTGCAGGAGTTGAGGGAGAGGATTTGGAAGCACTTTGAGAGTAAGAGTGAAGGGAGTCCGAGTGAGGCTGATAAACCTGGGGAGGAAGCTAGTGGTATGTTTGCTTGTTGATGTGATGAAATGTTCAATTGCTGACAGTTGCAGGTGCCAAGGGTGTGGAGTATCCTACAAGGTTCTTTGCTCGAGATTATGCAGGAAACAGATTGGAGTTCAGTCTATGAATGCCGGAAAATGTACTCTAAACAATTGTTGTGTACAAGGCTGCTCAACTGGTAGTCTTGTTATCAAATGCGTCCAATCACAGACCTCTTACAAGGCTTAACCCGCCATCTAGATCTTCATTCAATACATGGTTGACTAGAATTTCAGAAAGATAAAAATCAAAAGGCTCCTGTCCAGCTCAGACATTTGAAATACTCTATCTCAATCTCCGCTAAAAATCAATGAAACAGATTGGAGTTCAGTCTATGAATGCCGGAAAATGTACTCTAAACAATTGTTGTGTACAAGGCTGCTCAACTGGTAGTCTTGTTATCAAATGCGTCCAATCACAGACCTCTTACAAGGCTTAACCCGCCATCTAGATCTTCATTCAATACATGGTTGACTAGAATTTCAGAAAGATAAAAATCAAAAGGCTCCTGTCCAGCTCAGACATTTGAAATACTCTATCTCAATCTCCGCTAAAAATCAATACCCCGTCTTCCGCCGTATATCCCTTCTCATGTTTCTCGAATTCCAACATACCAGGCGGTGTTTCTTAGTATAATTTCAAGCGTTCTTCAGCAGTTGCTTTCCAAGTGTGGTACTTTCTGTCGTATACCTGACACGTGCGGAGTTTCTCACCGCAAGTGGCGGTCTTCCACGTCCACTGGTCAGATCGATCCTTGACGATGTCGATTCCGCTCGTAAGGTCCAGGTCATTCGCATGCGGCATGGCGCTCTCGTTCGAAGGTGATGGCAATGGGGTTGATGGGCCTGAAATTGTCCCAAGTCAAGCTGTCGATGTTCTTGCGTATGGTGTACCAGATTGCCGCGCGATTATTGGGAGCAGTCCATTGGACGTCAAATCGATCGTGTTGTAGATTTGCCGTAGTGTCTATAGGCTGAGTATCTCAATGTCCAAGATATAGGAACTTTTCAGGTGAGAGGTCCGTTATTTATGCTTCTCAATCTTCTTGGCGTCTAAGTAGCTTACTGACGTGGTCCTCGATCCGACTAGACGAGAGTTTCAACCCTTATATCCTTATTTTTCTCCGACATAGTTCTTACAAATACTCAGCGTACACACAATCATCCGAAGAGTTTCTAAAGAGACAAGATTGCTAAGTTCCGTTCCTGGGATCCTTGTACGCTCTGCCTTACAAGCAAAGAATTTTTGTGAAAATGTTATGCTAAATAGCCACTCAAAGGTCTCTTACCGGGTTCCATGCATTGAAAGAGTGTAGACTCAATAATCAAAGCACCTTGTTGTAGGTCGATTCTCTTTCAAGGCTATTTCAATCAATGGCTAGTGAAATAGTATATGAGAGTTGGCCACTAACCAGCTTTTCGTTTGCTCTGGTGTTCAGCTCCTTCCGGAGGCTCGTCAGGAGTAGACTAAACTTCCCCCAAGTTCCGTCCGAGTCATTTGTCATCCATTCACCCTCTGGGTGTTCTGGCAAAATCATGCCTCTAAGCCGAGATCGATTCGATGTCCATTGGACTGGACCAGGAGACAGAGACGCCGTCGAGTATGCAATGCAGAACAACCTGAGCTATGAAATTGTCGGCCGAGGTAAATACAGCCGCACATCGTTTGGCCACATCTACATGTTTCAAGGTCCCACGGATATGGAAGCACTACGACTCGCGAATGAAAAATCGAACGCCGAGGAGAAATCTCGTCATGCTGTAGATCCCGACATTGATACAGGACACACGGGAATACCCACTTTCTGGAAGACTGCTACCCGTAGAGAGAAGTTGCGTACCAATCGTCACCATCACTTGAGATACACGGCACAGTTGGAGGAAGTGAAGAGAAGGGTCTAGGCATTGGAAGCTAGGTTGAGGAGAAAGAAGAATGCAAAGACTGCTTCGGTTGGAACAGACCAACATCTTTGCCCAGTTGAATCAGAGCTTTCAAGACTTGAGCCTGGATGATGGACCATTGTTGCGTCAAGCTATGGGCTTGTAGAGTTGTTTATGGGAGATGCCTAATGATTTGACTTTTGAGGGACAGTTCTAGGGTTTAGCGAAGAAATAGTCTATTGGAACTTTACTTGAGCACCAACTTCTTCTTCGGATGATGATGAGAAACCAATTTCACGAGTCGGATGAT